AAAATACTGATGATACAATTGCATAAATTTCTTCCCAAATTTAGGAAATGATTAGACTTCAGTAACTAGACATTCCAATTTCAATAAATAAAATTTAAATAAATAGACTTTTAAAATTTATAGAAACACGAAGAAAATCATGATATAATATACTATTAAAATAATAGTTTTTAAAATACTGATGATACAATTGCATAAATTTCTTCCCAAATTTAGGAAATGATTAGACTTCAGTAACTAGACTTTCCAATTTCAATAAATAAAATTTAAATAAATAGACTTTTAAAATTTATAGAAACACGAAGAAAATCCTATGATATAATATACTATTTAAATATTATAGTTTTTAAAATACTGATGATACAATTGCATAAATTTCTTCCCAAATTTAGGAAATGATTAGACTTCAGTAACTAGACATTCCAATTTCAATAATATAAAATTTAAATAAATAGACTTTTAAAATTTATAGAAACACGAAGAAAATCCAATGATATAATATACTATTTAAATATAATAGTTTTTAAAATACTGATGATACAATTGCATAAATTTCTTCCCAAATTTAGGAAATGATTAGACTTCAGTAACTAGACTTTCCAATTTCAATAAATAAAATTTAAATAAATAGACTTTTAAAATTTATAGAAACACGAAGAAAATCCTATGATATAATATACTATTTAAATATTATAGTTTTTAAAATACTGATGATACAATTGCATAAATTTCTTCCCAAATTTAGGAAATGATTAGACTTCAGTAACTAGACATTCCAATTTCAATAAATAAAATTTAAATAAATAGACTTTTAAAATTTATAGAAACACGAAGAAAATCCAATGATATAATATATTTAAATATAAATAGTTTTTAAAATACTGATGATACAATTGCATAAATTTCTTCCCAAATTTAGGAAATGATTAGACTTCAGTAACTAGACTTTCCAATTTCAATAAATAAAATTTAAATAAATAGACTTTCAAAATTTATAGAAACATGAGGAAAACCCAGTGATATAATATACTATTTAAATATAATAGTTTTTAAAATACTGATGATACGATTGCATAAATTTCTTCTCAAATTTAGGAAATGATTACACTTCAGTAACTAGACTTTCAAATTTCAATAAATAAAATTTAAATAAATAGACTTTCAAAATTTATAGAAATATGAGGAAAACCCAGTGATATAATATACTATTTAAATATAATAGTTTTTAAAATACTGATGATACAATTGCATAAATTTCTTCTCAAATTTAGGAAATGATTAGACTTTTAATAACGTTATTTAATAATAAATAATTTTTATATATTATAATAAATAATTTGATTCTGACCCTATTTTAATTTTTTCAAATGATTATCTGTGACCCTAAGTTGTTTTTTAATTCATATTTTGATTGTAATCCTATTTTGATTTGCAGGAATTTTATGACTATAACCTTAATTTGGTTATTTTCTAAATAAATATTTTGATCATGATATCACAAAAATTTAATTATATTTATAAAAATAATAAATATTAAATTTATGACTTTAATGACAAATAAAATAATCGGTATAATCAATAGTAATAAAATAAGTAAATATAAATGCAACCCTATGAAGTGCAACAGTCACTTAAATGAAACAACTTTTTGTAAGCTAGTTTTCAATTTAAACTTCTATTAAAATGCAAGCCCATAGTAATTTCCAGATCTCAGATATGTGTATAAACAAACTACTTGTTTAATCGATGAAAAATATAATTTAGAAATTATCAATCAGTATCATAACATCTCCCACGATTTTTAATAAAACCTCGAATTCAATAAAGAATAATTTTATCAAAGCAACTAATCTCAATTCAACCCTTTAAATTCAGTAATTTCAGAATCTCAGTAAATGTTTAGAAATAATAATTAACAATTTATAGCAAAATCATTCAAGTCCTTCCCCAAGTCCATCGTTAATTCCTGGTTTCAAATATCGATAATATCGTAATATCTATATAAATTATCGTTCGATTGATGAATGATAGAATATCTCCACGTCATGGTCTCGATTAATTTGGTATCTGGCAGTGTTTCAGGATGTGCATGTCATGATATTCGTGGGCTTCGGGTTCCTGATGACGTTCCTGAAACGATATGGCTACAGCTCAGTGGGTTTCAATCTATTAGTGGCAGCCCTCGTAGTACAATGGGCAGTTCTCTGTAGAGGATACTTCGAATTGGAAGATGGAAAAATCAGGTCAGTAGTAAAGGATTCTGGATTTTTTTTATTATATTATACCAATAGTTTTTATACGTATATAGTAAAGGATTCTGGATTTTTTTTGGTCATATCATACCAATAGTTTTTAGAGGTGAGACTAATTAAACACTGGTAGTCGTATATAATGCCATTAGAGTTATTAATTTATGTGCCCACCTATATTTCTGACGCTGTCTCTGGCCATTAATCATTTTTTGTTTTGTTTTTCCATTTTATTTCATCAAATGTGTGCATAAATATACATACGTGCAGGTAAATAATATAGGGTAGGGCGGGGTTTGAAGGTCT